GGAACCCTTCAAAACCAGACCCTGCTAAGACGCATTCCAGCAAAAAAATGGGCCCCATAAAGTAATTTTTTCCCCTTTCCCATCCCATTACTGGGAGGAGATTTCATCAGATGTTCTTTCCTGATGGCTCAGAAGGAGACAGGGCTACCTAGCCCCACTAGCCCTCTCGGAAGGGCCCGAGTGGGGCCCTGCAATGGGATGCTGGCACAACGCTGAGGGCACACATTGCCTGATCCTAAAGTTCCTGAACCACCACACTGTTCTGTGCCAGCCTCATCATGTTGTGCCATGGCAGCAATGCCTGGGGCCTGGCGGCGAGGGCCACGGGCAGGATGGCAGTGCGGGATGCGGAGTCGGCATCACGGGTACCCAAGCGCCGAGCCTGTTGCTATGGCAATGGGAGCTGGAGATGCAGAAAGCGGCACATCCTTGGGAGGAGGGGGCAGGGACGGGCAGCACCCAGCAGCACTCGACCCACCTGCGGGTGCACGGCACCGTTCCTGCCCCACAGGCCCCAGGAGGAAGGTGATCCTGCCTGCAGCACCCAGGACATGCACCTGAGCACTCCCTAGGGTGACTGACCCCAAACCTGGGTGGGATATGGGTGCAGTGGGGCAGAGAATGGGGGCATGCTCCTTCCTGCTTCCATCCCTTGGGGCTGACTTGCCTCTGTGTCTGCCTGAGCAATGCTTGCAGGATGGGTGCTCCCACATCACCAGGCACCCTCCTGCCGAAAAGCCCATGTTGGACAAAAGCACCCATCCCTGTCCCACTAAGGGTGCACTTAGTCCCAAAAGAGAAGCAGAGCACCCATGGGACACCCTTACCCATGCCACAGACCGGCTGAGGCTTTCCAGCCTACGCTCATCACATCCAACAGCCTTCCTGGCAATTATGCCCTGCCTGGCACCTCCGTGACCCTGTGCTGCATGACTCCAGCTCTGCCGTGCCACCATGCCCAGCAGAGGAGCACAGGGGCTGTCCCGGCCGCGCTGGCGTGGTGGCAGGCTCGGTGCTGGCAGGGGTAGGGCTGTCCTGCAGGCAGGCTGCCAGCGCCAATGGCACGATGCCAGGATTAGCCAGGAAAGGGACCGGGGCGGGATGATGTATCAGGATTTTATTGCTGTCTCTGCGAGTGATCAGCTAATCTGCGCTCATAAAATTAGTTCCCGTTCATTTAGCAGGGCCCCATCCTGCTGGGGCTGAGCACCAGCACCCTTGCTGGTCCCAGGCTGGCTTGAGGGGTGGCTCACTGTACACTGGGTACCCCACAAGGGAGGCTGGCACCCAGCCCCACATCAGGGCCAACACCTGCGCCCCACAGGTGAGAGTACCCCCACTATGGCAGGGGCACCCAGGCAAGCAGTGGGTGAAAGGGGAGTGCTCCCTCCCCGGGGTGCTGGGGGGGGGGGGAGGTTGGGTGCTGCACCGGCACCCGCGCACGTCCCCCCCCGCTGAAGCATCTAATTTGGGAGCAAGAAGCAACAGCGGGTGTAAGACAATAGCGGGGAAGTGGGTGGCTGGGTGCGGACGGCACGAAGAGATGACGCAGCCCCGCAGCCCTCACCAGCGGGGCCCCCCCAGCCCCCCGAACCCCGGATCTGCCCCACGGCGCGGGTACCCCCGGCCGGGCTCCTGCCCCGGCCGCGCTTACACCTGCAGCCGCCCTGGACGAGTCCGTGTCGGGGGTCCCCGCTCTCACCCCCATTCCTCCCAACGTCTCTGGTAAAGGATGCACCGGGGAGAGGAAGAAACCGCAGCCGGGCCGAGACGGACCGAAGTGTTGCTGGCGCAGGGGGGAGGCGAGCAGCGGCAGGCGGCGGGGTTGCGCCAGCCGCGCTCTGGCCGCAGGAGCACCCGGGCTGGCGGGGGGGAGCCCCGGGATAGTGCGGAGGGGCGGCCCGGGCCGCGCACCGCGGGCGAAGTCTCGGCAGTGGCCGGCTCGGAGGGATGCGGCAGCGGGAAGGGAGCGGGCTGCAGGGAGAGGGGCATGGACCCAGAAGGGGACGCCCGGAGGCGGGAGAGCGGGGCGAGGGTCTCCAGCATCATTCCCCCGTCACGGGGCTCTCCGGGCTCCGCGCAGAAGCGGCACGGGGGCGGCGAGCGGGGAGGCGCGGGGGGGAGCCGGGCTTCGGGGCGCCCGTCGGGGCTCGGGGTCTGCGGGACGCGGGATGCCGGCAGGGACGGGGCAGCAGCGGGCGGCCGTCGGAGCGCGCACGGAGCCGAGCACGGACCGGCCGCGATGTCCCGGGCCACCGCGGATGGGGGGGGTTGCGTGGGGGACAGCCCCGAGACCACAAGTGCCAAGTCCCATCAACGCCCCCACCCCGGTCCTGGCTCCCCACCTCCCCGCCCGCGGCACGGCACGGACCGGACCGGCTCTGCTCGGCTCTGTCCCGGGTCGGGGCTGTCCCGGCGCGGCGCCGCGCTCACCTGCACGCCTCTTCGACCGCAAAGGGGGGCCGCGGCCCGGGGCCGCCGCTCGGGGGGGCCGCACGCCCCTCCCTCGCTCCCTCCGCGCGGGGCCGGTGCGGAGCCGAGCCGAGCCGAGCCGAGCCGAGTCGAGCCGAGCCGTCGGTCCGTCGCGGCGCGGCCCCGCGCGCCCGGCGCGGCAAGTTGGGGGGGCGGGACCTCGGGGGCCCGCCCCCCGCCGAGAGCCCCGCCCCTCCTCTGACGTCACTGCCAAACTTCGCGCCCCGCCCGTCGGCCGCGGGAGAGGCGCCGCGGGAACGGTCACGCGTGGTGATGGGGCGAGTCCCGCAGCGTAAACCCGGGCAGGAGCAGGCACCCCGCGGGACCCCCACCAGCACCCACGTGTGGGGTGCGCCAATACCCGCGAGCCCCCGTGGGGTGCTCAGGTCCCGCTGCTGCCCAGCCGGGTGAGACAGAGCTGTCTGCGGTGCCCCCCAAGCCCATGGTACTCTCCCCATCCTTTCTGTTCGCCCCAGGAGGTGCTCACCCAAAGGGGCACTGAGCCTGTTGAGTGCTGGGGCTGCTCTGGTGTCACGGTGGGCTTCACTGAGGTGGTGCAGACTGAAGTGAGATTCAAAGCACTAGGATGCACCGGGGTCCCCTGGGCTGGGCCGTGGCCACCTGCCACGGATGGGATGGTGCAGGATAGGATGGGGTAGGTGAGATGGGACAGGACAGATGAGAGAGATGGGATGGATGGTGTAGGATGGGATGGGATGGATGGGAAGAATGGGGTAGGATAGGCATGTTGTGGGATGGATGGGATGGAATAGGACAGAATGGATGGAGTGGGGTGGAATGAAACAGGCTGGATGAGATGGGACAGGAGCAGGTTATTAGCAGAGCTGAGTGTGGGCTCAGCACCACATATACCATGTAGACACAGGCAGACACATGGTCCCACTTCTGTGCCATGATCCTATGGGAACCAGGCAACTTCCTTTGTCCTCCTTCCACAGTTGTGTGGCTCCACTTGCTCCGCCATGGACAGGGATTATCCATTCCCCACAGCCCAGGCCAAGGAGAAGAAAGGGGCAAGAAATCAGCCACCCTGATACTGTTAACTCTGCCACCTCCTGGACATGGCACCCAGCCCAGGATGGACAGCACAGCCCTGGGGTGCAGCGGGGCCCACCACTCCTTCCCCCAGTTCCCAGAGCACCTCACTCCTCATGCAATGCAGCTGCATGTGTGGAGCCTCCTGCATGGCATCATGCTGCACACTGGCGTCTGTGGCCCGTATGTTGCCGCTTCTGAGCTGCACCCGCACTCGCCTCCCCTTCTGCCCTGCACCCACCAAACCCCAGCTCCCCAAAACTACCTGGGCTGCCACAGGGCCACATCCTCTCCCCAGCCCCACAAGCTTGGGTCAGGCAGACCCGTGGGCAGGAGACACCAGGATCCCATCCCTAAAGCTGTCATCTCCCCTCTGCTCACAAGGAGACCAGCCAGCACCCCAAGGCAGACACAACACAGGGTACCCCCTGCATCTGCCCCACTGCAAGACCCAGGCCCATCGTCACCCGCACTGGGTAATTAACGGCACATGAGAGCTGGGGAATTAGCAGGGTGCTGTAGTTTGAGCTTCTAATCAAGAGTTTAATCACAGCGACTGGCATCAGTGCAGCGCAGTTATTAATCTCTGCACCTTGCAGGAACCTGGAGTGTAACTCACAATTACCCAGCAGGGGCCCGGCACGGCTCAGCACTGCCCGGCAGTGGCTCGTAACATAAGGGGTGGGATGGGCTCCTCCATCCCTTGTGACTCCTCCATCCCTCTTGGCCACTCTGTCCCCTGTGGCGCCTCCAGCCCCTTCAGCCCGCCTCGTGCCCAGCACCTCCTGGTACCAGCCTCCCGCCATGGCAGAACTGCCCCAGGGTTCCATCACTGCCCCCTGGTTCCCTCCTGGCCCCAGCTCTGGTTCAGATCTCACCCCGTGCCCCATTTTGGGATGATTATCTCTGCTGTGCCCTGACCGCTGACCTGCTCACCCACTGCCCCATGCACTCATCACCGCATGCATCCAGTGCTCCATGCACCCCAGTGCTCCACGCACCCACCACCCTTCCCACTGGCCCATGGTGAGCCCAGAGCTGGGTTCAGGGTGACTTAACTGGTCTGGACTGACATTCCCTGTAGGCCTCCTGGCATGAGGGGCTGCCAAGGTGGATCTGCCAAGGCTGGGGACCCTTTGCTCGGGTGGGGGAGACACAGGATGGGGGACACCTGGCTGTACCTCTCTGCCCCAGACAGTGTTGGAGGGGGTCCAGGGCCAGCCTAGCCTGGCAGCCCCATGCCGGGGGGCTGCTGCTGGGGTGCAGTGGGGTGCAGCGGGGGGCCGTGCAGTATGTCCGTGACTCAAGCGCCACGCGGCACCACATCCCTGCGTGCTCACCATCGCCATGGCAACCGTCAGGCAATCAGCGGTAATTGCGTGTGTCGGCCTGGCAACGGGGCCAAATAAACCCCATCCCTCCTTTCGGGGGGCTGGTGGAGGGGGGGGGGGAGAAAATAAAGGGGTGCAGCCACCGGTTGCCACTTGTGGGCCTTTATTGGGGTCAGCAGCAGTGGGAGTGCAGGACGGCAGGGCCGCCCTCTGCATAGGCGTCCCGCGGCACCCATGCTCCCTGGAAGGCACCGAGGGCAGTGGCCAGTGACCCTCCCAGCCAGGCGGCTTCACGGCGGTGTGGGGCGGCCTCAACGGGGATCCCCAGCTCTGCGCACAGGCGCTGGGGGAGGCCCTGCAGCAGCGTGGTGCCCCCGGCCAGCAGCAGGCAGGGTGGGGGGCCGCTGGGGGAGCTCCAACAGCGGCGCAGGCTCTGGGACACCTGCTCCAGCAGCCCTGGCCCCGGCAGCCCCAGGGCCGTGGGGGCCAGCAGCACCTCGGGGCAGTGGAAGCGCTCATCCGCTTGGAGCAGCCCCGAGGTGCTGGGGGGGAGGACGGGCGGGGGCTGCCCGGCAGCCGGCAGGACGCAGCAGCAGGTCTCCTTCAGGCCGCACAGGGTGTAAGTGTCGAGGTGCACCCCGCGGGACTCCAGCCGCTGGCCCAGGTAGCAGGTGAGGGCATCCCCAGCCACATCCAGGCGGAAGGTGGCGTGTGGCAGCGCGTAGCCTTCCCACACCGCTGCCGCGTACGAGGTGCCGGCACCGGAGCCCACCACCACGCCGGTGGTGCGGCCATAGGAGTACGCGGCGAGCAGGGAGCGGGGCAGCACCAGCATGGCCGGCACCCCGAAGCCCTCGAAGAGCAGCTCGGCCATCTTCTCCCGGTTGGCAATGGGGGAAAGCGGGGCCTCCGTGGCCAGCACGGCCACCTCCTCGGGGCAGACACGCAGCTCCTGGTAGAGGATGCGGTGCCACAGCTCCTCCAGCCCGTCCCAGTCGGTGACCACGCCGTGGGTGAGGATGGAGCTGTCCTCAGCCTGGCTGGGCACCACCGACCGCGGCTCCTCGTCCCCAGCCAGCCCACTCCTCGTGTGGCCTGTCCCCGTGTCAATGACAACAGCGCACAAAGCCTTGTACCTGTCCATTGGCTTGGCCTCCATCACATCCAGTGCTTGCGCTGTTACCTGGGGCTGTGCCTTGAGGGGAGCTCGGTCGCCATAGCAACTGCCTGCATCATTGTGACGACATCACCCATGGCATCAGGCTTTGGTTCCCCTTCCCACTGGAAGACCTTTGGGGGCCCCTGAGTCTCACTGGGGCAGTACCTGTGGTTGTGGGGATCAGGGCACAGGGAGGCTGCTCAGGGCAAGGAGTTTCATGTGGGGCTCCTTGCTGGGAGAGAACTGATCTTGAGGCAGAAGACTGGGACCAGCACTGGCACAGGTCCTGATGGGGTGCTGAGATGGGGTGAGCCTCCCCGGATGAGAGTGGGTGCTCTCTCAGGGACAGGAAAAGGAGAAAAGATGTGTCTTATATGCTGTAAGGCTTCAGGGTGAAGAAAAGATCCCTGGAGCCCACCAGAGCTGCTTGGGGACCACCAGCGCATTCTGGAGTCCATCAGAGATCCCCAAGGGCTACCGAAGCTCCCCAAAGACCACTGAAGCTCATCAGAGATGCCCCATGTCCATCAGAGCTCCCTGGGGGCCAGCAGAGCCCCAGATGGGTGCAGGGGTGCTGGCACGAGCATGGGAGGGCAGAGGTACAGGGCTGGCAGCAGGACCGGGGTGCAGGCAGCCCCCCCCGCGGCTCACAGCATCCTTAGCAAGCCCCGATGCTTTCTATAAGCGTCTCGGCGGAGCCGCGCTCTTCACGCCCGCTCCCCGGAGCCGGCAGCGCTAAAAACAGCTCGGCGCTGCCTGCTGCCTCCTGCCACCTCCCTCCGGCCCGGCTGACGCCGCGGCCACCGCTCCGCTCCACCGCTGCTCTGACACCGTTTCGGCCGTCTCCACTCCAGCCCCCATCCCTGGGTGCGGTGGAGGTGAAGGGGGGACAGGTACGGGCGCACCCATTGCTTGCACCCAGTCTTTGCCCCTGCTTTGCCACGAGTGGCTCAGAACCGCGGTGCCATTGCAGCAGCACGGGCAAATGCCATTGCAGCACGGCCCCAGCCGGGTCCGTGCCCGGCTCTGCCCGTGCGCAGCCGCTCATGTTTTATAGATGGCTCCGATTTTAATAATTAATCCCTGCTAACGACAGCACTTTCCCCAAATAAAACATTTAAAGTGCTGTGTGTGCAAGGCGTGCTGCCGGGGCGGGACGCCGGCTGCTCTGCTGCAGCCGTGGCGGGTGGGCATGCTGCGGCGTGGCGCTGCACAGCGTGGCATGCCATGGCCACACATGGCCACCACCCAACGGGGTGCTCTACCGGCCATGCAACACCTCAGGGTGCCACTTGAGTGCCCACCCATGCGCAGGCAGCACCTATGAGACACCTCCAAGATGCGGCATGGGTGCTAGGTGCCATGTGAGATGCCACCCTGTGATGTCCCCTGTGCTGTAGCGGTGTGTGCAGCACCAGCATCGGTTCTGGCTGGCAGCATGGAAGGGCAGGCAGGGACAGACAGCGGTAGGCACATGCCAGCCCCTGGCTTTGAAGGCCTGGTGCTCACTCCTCACTTCCTGCAGCGTAATTAGGGCAGGATAAATGCATATTAGCATGAAATCTGTCATCTCTGCTAGCACATTTAGGGGGACACACACACATGACAGCCTGAGGCAGGCGCCCTCCTCAAAGCACATCACCATCACCACCATGCGAGCCTTGTCAGCTAACAAGCAGCTCGCTGCGCCGCCCCACCGCAGGCATTGACAGCTCTGTCACACTGGGAGTCCCTGGGGCTGCCCCACCGTGCCACAAGATGATGGGACAGGCACACGTCTGCCACCCAAACACAGCCACCCTGCCCCGTGCTGAGGGTGCCCATCCATCCATCCATCCATCCATCCATCCATCCATCCATCCATCCCTCCCTGCGTTCCATCTGGCATCTAGCATCCCCCAGCACCTCCTGGCTTTGATTCAGCCCATTCAGCCATGCGGTGCTGGGCCCTTTCCGTTGCTACAGCAACTCAGCAGCGCAGCCGAAATGGTGCTGCTTGGCCTTGAGCGAGCACCCACATCGGGTCAGGAGAGCAGCACGGCCCCACTGCAGGGACACTGAGGCTCTGTCCCCGAACTGTGGGATGCTGGGATGCAGCCACACTAAATATATCCCTGCGGGAGCGGCGGCAGAGCTGTGCAGGTGTGAGACACCGGCGGAGACGGACAGCTTGGCTGATGGGAGCTGACGCGGCCGCGGGCTTCGGCACCGCTTAATGAGCAGCTGAGGAGGGTTTATTTAAAGCCAGTGCTGGCTGCAGGACCCCCACGGCTGGACACGGACCAGGAAGCAGAGCTGCCCATGCCCATGGGGCTGGGGCATGTTTCAGCATCCCCTGCACATCCACCCATCCCCACCCCTGCCCCCAGCACTGGATGTGAGCTCAGGGGGGTGATGCCCATCACTGGTGGCTTCCTCTTTTCCAGTGTCTCATTCTAGGGGATCCTTGCCCCACACTTGGGGTGGGGAGGATCTCCTTGTCAGCGAGCTCCTCGCAGATGGGAGGTCTGCCATCGCTGCCAGCAAAAGGAGCAAAGTCCGGCGGTGGGATCAGTGGGGGCTCAGCTGCTCTCCTTGCTCCTGGGCAGCGCCTGGCATGAGCTGCACCATCCCCTGCACAGGCAGCAGCTGGAGCAATCAGGGTGTAATTACATGAGACTGGCAATGACACTTGGTCACCAGGTAGGAACCCCCAAGCCTGATCCAGCGTGCCCCAGCACGACCCTGTGCAGACGGGCAGGGTGGGTAACTCTGGTACCGGGTACCACTGTGGGCTGGGCATCACTACATCTGCCACCACGACCGCATGTCCTGGGCACTGAGGCACCTCTATGCCATGGATGCTGTAATCCTGTACCCTCAGCTCTGTGACCCCAGCAGCACACTGATCCCACAGCCAGGCACCTGTTGACCCAAGCACACACTCATCCCATGCCCAGGCACCCATCATGCTGTGATCCCATGGTCACCATGACCCACACCTTGGGCAGTGGGATCTGAGGGGCACCATCACCCCAAGCCCAGGCGTATGGTGCTGTACCTGGGAGATGCCACATCGCCATCGCAGCCCCCAGCCGCCCAGGTAAGGCACAGCTGACCCCCACTGCTCTTTGGGGCCACTAGCAAGCAGGGCCACAGGCTCTGGCCAGAGGGACTTTAAAGAAAACCCTTTAGCTTGGTGTCTCCCTGGGTCCCCTGCTAAGCACAGGGGCTGCTGGTCCCAGGGGTGCATAGGGTGGCCCCAGCGTGGTGGGCACCAAGGGATAGGGTCCGGGGTGGCCACACCAGCACCAGTGTGTGGGTGGCCTCCCATGGGTAGTACGGGAACAGTGGGTGCCCCCTGGGGTGAGCACCCTCCTCACAGGGGGACAGGGGTGCTGCCAGCAAGGCACGGTCCCCCCCAGAGACACAGCCCCAGCCCTTGGTAAAAACAGAAGTAGGTTTTAATGAGCTGTCCCAGCAGCCAAGGGGCTGGAAACACCAAGGCACCCATGGGTGGGCCACGTCGCCCTATGGCACCTGCTGGGGCCCCACAGCAGAGGCTCACTATTGTGGGGCTGAGCCTGGGACCACACAGCACCCAGCCACTGTGGGGCTGAGCCCCCAGCACCCAGCCAGAGCCCCATGGCACCCTGTGCTGTAGGGCCAAGCCTGGGGAGCACCCAGCAAGGTCCGGGTGTGAGCCATGGGGGAGCACCCCACGGCACTCAGCTGCCTCTCAGCACCCATCCCATAGGGAGAGTGCCTCGTAGCACCCGGCTGCATGCTGCATCCCTCCTAGGGCAAGCGTGCCCATAGTGTATGGGGATCCAGTGGCCCCCACAGTGCAGAGCATTCCATCAAAACACGGCTGTCCCCTCCTCTTCTTCCTCCTCATCCTCGTCCTCTTTGTCCTCCTCCTCATTATCCTCATCCTCGTCTTCACCATCAGGCAGCAGCCCCAGTGGGGCAGGAGGGAAGGGGGGCCCACGCTCCAGGTTGACATAGGTGACAGCCAGGTTGACGTAGAGCTCACCCTCCAGCGCGGCCAGGACACGCTCCAGCTCACCCACCAGCCCGGTGAAGGACGGTCTCTCCTCCGGCGCCGGTGCCCAGCAGCTCAGCATCACCCCATACCTGTCCCAACAGCCCCATCAGCACCAGCAGCCCCCCTGGAGCCCCCCACCCCACCCTGCGCACCCCAGCCCCACTCACAGGGTGTCGGGGCAGTGCTGGGGCTGCGGCAGGCGTCTCCCCCGCTGCAGGTAGCGGGTCATGTCGTAAGGGTCCACCCCGGGGTACGGTGATGCTCCCCGCGTCAGCAGCTCCCACATGAGCACCCCGAAGGACCACTGCGGAGCAGAGAGCTGCCATTGAGGGGGGAGGCACGGTGGGGATGGGGACAGGGATGGGGGACGTGCCTACCACATCCGACTTGGTGGTGAACTTTTGGGTCTGGAGGCTCTCCAGTGCCATCCACTTGACGGGCAGCTTGGCGTGGCGGTGCCGCCGGACGCTGTAGTACTCCTTGCCAAACACGTCCCGTGCCAGGCCAAAGTCAGCCACCTTCACCGTCAGTGTCTCGTCCAGCCTATGGGACATCGGGTTTGGGTGGGGAGGGACACCGGGCAGCACGCCTCATACCCACGCCCGGGCCCATGGGGTGGCACCATGTCTGGGGCTAGACTCACATGCAGTTCCTGGCGGCCAGGTCCCGATGCACAAACTTCTTCTGGGCCAGGTACTCCATGCCCAGGGCCACCTGCAGCCCAAAGCCGATGAGCTCCTTCACCGTGGGGCTCTGTGGGGTGGGAGCAGTGAGTGGGGACCCCTTGGTCCCACACCACCCCCCCCCACACACACCTGCAGGGTACCCCCATACCCGCTCCTGTGCGCGGATGAAGTGGCGCAGGTCCCCATGGCGCATGTAGGGCAGGACAACGAGGGGCAGCCCGTGGCGGGGCAGGCAGACCCCCAGCAGCGAGAGCACCTGGGGGTGATGGAAGCTCTTCATAAGGATGCCCTCGCGCAGGAACTCCTCCACCTCCTCCACGTCGGTGATGCCTGCAGAGAGCCGAGCTGTGGAGCGCTGCCGCCAAGCCGGGGCCGGGCCGAGGGAGCGGGTGCTACTCACGGTGCAGGGACTTGACAGCACAGTGGAGCTCCCCCAGCAGCGGGTCCGAGTAGGTGCCATGGTAGACGCTGCCAAAGTGGCCTGCAGGGACAGGCAGTGTAAAGTGATAGAATCCCAGGCTGGGTTGGGTTGGAAAGGACCTTAAAGCTCATCCAGTTCCAACCCCCTGCCACAGGCAGGGACCCCTTCCACTGGAGCAGCTTGCTCCAAGCCCCTGTGTCCAACCTGGCCTTGAACACTGCTAAGGATGGGGCAGCCACAACTTGTGTTGTGTGCAGTTCTGGTGTCCTCAACATAAAAAGGACATGGAACTGTTGGAACAAGTCCAGAGGAGGCCACGAGGATGATCAGGGGACTGGAGCCCCTCCCATATGAAGATAGGCTGAGAAAGTTGGGGCTGTTCAGCCTGGAGAAGAGAAGGC